GAGTGATTTGGACAGCACCTCGCTTCTAAAAATAATATTCTTTGACGAAACTGGGAAGTTTGCTTGAAAACCGGGCTTCGTGCGGGCAGAGTTTCAAACCGAAAAACTTTTTTTCTCGGAGACTCCGGGAGCCTCGGGGCTTCCTTCGGGTGCTAGGGGGTTTACCTAGGCTTAGGAGGGTTTAGAAACCTTAGAGAGAGAAAGTATTTAGAGAAAGAATGAAGAAATGAGTGAGAAATCCAGAACATTTCGCATGGTATTTATAGTGCTGGACTTCGGACCTACGTTGGGCGTAGCCTTCAGTTACGCTGGGCGTAACCTCGGATAAGACTGCCAGCTCGCACCAGCTGGCTCGCAATATCGAACGGATAAGAACCGAGGTACGTTGGGCGTACCTGGCCTCGGACGCGGGGCGTAGCGAAGGGTGACACGTCGTTCATCGGATGCGAGGCTGATCATCATCGGACGGTTGTGGTGCTGCCACGTCACCAAATTCGCATCAGACTTCGCATTTTGCCTTCCCGACTTCTAAAATTTGTAACTTTCGCATACGAGCTTCGTTTAAAACGTTCTTTATATCCACGCGTAGGCGGGAACGTGCTCTACAACGTTCGTTTAGACTCCGTCGGCTAATTTTGACTTTATTTTAAAAGTTATATTTTTAACAGGTCGGGACAGGATTGGTCCGTTAAAATTCCTAACTTCTTCATCCGACGTTCGTTTTCGTCTGTCTTTTTATCGTTACGCTACTATTAACGAGATCTTCGATTCTCGTTTAGGTTGTGTCGGCTAAAAACCGCTCGATCTAATATTCGAACTTCGGGCTGTACACCACTAAGTCGAAACTTCGAAAAATCATAACTTCCTCATATGAAGTCAGGATTGGTCCGTTAAAATTCCTAACTTCTTCTGTGTCGCGTCGGTTCCGTCGCGAAACTTCGACGGGTCATAACTTCTTCGTTATAACTCGGATTTCGGCGTTCTTTATATCTCCAGAATCCTTGTTTCGACCACTACAACTTTATGTAAAGATATCGGGTTTATCTCACACTTTAATTTTGACGCTTATTTTTATCCTTTATTTATTATACATTTATAAATAAGTAATAAGCACATAAATGCACATAATTCACATAATACTCAAATATTTCATATTTATTACTTCAAAAAGAGTTATAATAGTTGACCTAGACTATTACATCGTCTAAAAATGCTTAGCCCAGAAACGCGGGCGTTACACGGAATCCATATGGTGTGTGCGATGCAGTCAACCTGAGTTCTTCCTCTTGGAACCGGAAGTACCTGAAACATAAACTGAAAACCGTAAGCACAAAGTTTAGTGAGTACCCTAAACTACCCCATACCATACACAATAAATCTCATACTGGGCCCCCGCCCTACATCGGGCCTCGCCCGGCATCGGGCCCCGCCAACATCGAGCCCCGCTCAGTTCACGGATCTATTATTCTCAGGCCTCGCTTGCCATTGGCCTCACCCACTATGCACATACAATATATGACATAATAATGCTAACGCATATAGTGATCACAAAACGATAGCATATGTTCCAGTCCTCGGGCCTCGCCCGACATCGAGCCCCACCCGGTATAGCAGCACATAACACATGCAAGGGTCATACAGACTCCTAGCATCCTAACATAATCAATAAGGGCCGACATTGGTGCCTTAGACCCGCTAAACCCAATGAGGAAACTCACCTCGAATGTTGAATCTCACTGAAAATCCCTAGCTGCTGCCCTGACGAATCCCCGAGCTATCAATACAAAATAGCACCCAATTAAGACTTGGGTTCCAATCTATATCCAAATCCATACTTGAGGTAAAATGACAATTTTACCACTGACCTAGTTTGAATCAAGACTTACGCCTAAACTCACCACCCAAACGGGCCCAAAACCAAATGATCCACCAAGGCCCACTTATGGCCCAATTTTCCAAATTGGGCCCAAACCTTATATGGATCCTACCCTAAGGCCCAATAATTTTCCTTAGTCAAAAGGCTTGATTCCAGATGGCCCATTAAGGCCCAAAGCAACAAGGTCCAAATAAGTAACCCAACCGAGGCCCAAAAGATACGAAGCCCAACAGACTGAGTACGCGGGGCGTACTTAGCTGTACGCTAAGCATACACGCAACCTAGGTTGTACGCCTTGCGTACGGACTTGTACACCCAATGTACGAAGCCATTAAGCCAAAAATCAGTCTTAAGCTCTTAATACTTAAGACTAACAACCCAAAACACAGATCTAAGCCCTAAAAGACATCTAGAACCATAAAGTCCACTGACTTGGTGACTTTGCATGCCCCAAAAGGTTCCAACTTCAAGATAGAGCATTATAAAGTCACATTAAAGGTGACAACTTTAAGACTTAGAAACCTCAAATACGTCAAGAGGGACAACTCATAACTTCTGGAATTGCATCAACCCACCAAATCTCGCTCGTAGGACCAAAAGTTAACAAAAAACAAGCTAGAACTAGATCTAAGCTATGACACATCAAGATAAGAGCTTTATACCTCCAAAGAGTGCCAAATGATGATGATGTTCCGGATCTACTAGCTCCCACTCTTTCCAATGAAGCTTCAAGATGATCTCCTTCCTTCAAAACACCAAATACACCCCCAAAGACCTTCTAAGCTCAAGAACACTCAACTATGGAGTTAGGGTTTCAATTATAGGGCTAGGAGGACAGAGGAGGCTGAGAAAATAAAGGTTCATGGTCCATAATGATGTTTATATAGTGTCCACACTTGAAAATTAGAGTTTTCATTAAGTCATGCGTATGCCCCACGTACAAGGTTGTACGCCCCACGTACGCACCCGGTTCCCCGTCCAAGCCTTCGCATGAGTACGCTAAGCATACCCTTTGGTATGCCTCGCGTACTCGCTTTACAGCTTGTACGTAAGCGTACCTTGTGGTACGCCCCGCGTACAACTCAAAGACTAAAATGCACAAAAATAAACTCAACAAGGGCAAAAGAGGAACTTACCAGGATTCAAGTGTTACACTTTGTTTGTGAGTACATGTATAAAGCTTTTATTTTAAACAACAAAGTTTTAATCCAAAAACAATTTCAAGTAGTTTTTTAAGGCTTTTAGCTTTTATGTTTTAAGGACAATACCATTAAAGCCACTGTAATTTGGCCAAAATTTGATTTAAGCACTTTTTTTTCATTATGAGAAAATCACCCATGTTTACCAAAAAAAAAAAAAAAAATCAAACATGACCACTATGCCTTCCTATTGCCACTTCAAATGGTTACCAAATTCTTTTTCACACTAAAGTCATCTAACATCAAAACATTTTTCCGACTTGGCCACTATAAAAAAAATTGTTAAAGACAATATTTTTTGTTAGAAAAAATTGTTAGAGGCGGTATTTTGTTGGATTCTTTTTTCAATTCATTTTGTATCTTTGCATTTTTTTAAAGAAAAGTTTATTTGTCCTCGTAATAACAACGCAGGTTGGAAATTTGTTAATTTTGTAGTCTCATAACAAACAAATTCAAACGAATGAGATTTTAGTGCCAACAACCACCAAAAGAATTTATGGAGCGTTATTGTCGATGGTTTGTGGCATTCAATTTTTGGCATCAGCACAACCAACTACAAACATTTAAAAAATAAGTCAAATATGAAGATTTGTACGATAACACTATAATTATAGGTATAGTGTAAAAATAATGTTAAGGGTTGGAGATGGTCTAACCGATATAAAATAAAGAAGATGAGTTTGAAGATTCTTCCCCAGATAAATGGTAGCTTTTATCCGAGAGAGAGAGAGAGAGAGAGAGAGAGAGAGAGAGAGAGAGAGAGAGAGAGAGAGAGAGAGAGAGACCCTTTATAACTAAATAATAGTAAAATAAAAGATAGAAAAGACAAATCTGTCATTTGAAGAATTTTTAAAATACTTTGAACAAAACTCACAGCAAAATAAAAACTTTGGATTAGTCAAAACTTTTTTGAACCAAAATGATATTCGACGATTCTTGCAATTATGTCTAAAAATAATAAAATGAATCGGACGCTTGGAATTGGCCTCAAAAGATTTGGGCTCCTTTCAGCCTTTTACCATCTTTTTTAACAGCTTGGGCCTGAGAGGTCCCTATTAAGAGTTCAACTGTTCCAAGTTCCAACCGAACTTAATCACATCAGGCATCATCAAAACGAGTTCCAAATTCTTTCCGCTATTCGCAAAGCGTGCGGCAAAATTCGACTAACACCGATGGATACGGGAACGGAGTTTACTTCCGGCCGCCGTGTCGCCGCCGTCAATCTAGAAGAACATAATCAATCTAAAAGGCACCGTTCGATCTTCGAAGTTCCATCGGATTTCTTCGATTCCTGCGGCCTACTTGAATATCCATCAACCTCATCAACCGCCTTCATCCCTGAATTCGCCGCAACCTGGACTACTAGTACTAGTAGCAAGGAAAATACTGTATTAGAAGCAGATAATGTTAGTTCTAGTGAGAGATTGACGTGCAATACTTGTAAATCCAGTTTCGAGTCGCTTCAAGATCAACGGTCTCACTTCAAGTCCGATTTTCATCGATTCAATGTAAATTCTCTTACATTAAATATCTTGTTTTGTCTTTTCTTGAAACTTTACATCTGCTCGTGTGTTTGTATTTTGCAACTTCAACAGGTTTGAAATTTTCATGAAAATGAACTTTAACATACGTTCTGTATACTACTGCAACGCTAAAATAAATGTTTAACTTTACTTTATTTTTGCTTGAATCGATGCATATTTATGAGTATAGTACCATCTCCGTGCCACCACTAGATTATAACTCTTAAAAAATCGCAAAGCTAAAGGACATTGAGTTAGCTAACAGTGATATATCTCTGTTAGAAGATAATGGACTCCAATTGTGGAATCTGAGCATTCACGCCTGTTTTGTTTTGTTTCTTTCTTAGCATGAATATACATACTACTAGAAATCACTATGAAATAAGTACACAAGTAGATTGATTTTTGATAGGCATGGTAAACCATTCTAATCCAGACCTTACTTTGAAACTTAGTCGGCTAATATTAATGGCATATGTTGATGATTGTAGTTCATTGTCTTTTGACATATCAATTTATATCATCAGCTAAAGCTTGCGGTTGCTGGAAAGGATATTGTGAAAGAGGATGATTTTGATGAATGGACATCTAATTCGTTAGTTCAAGATTATGATGTATCAAGTATATCAGGCTCAGATGAGGAAGATGACAGAGAATCTAGCCTCAGAAGTGATATGAACAAGGGCTTACTGGGAAGTACTAAAAGCAAAATCTTTGTACGTTTAGCAAATGGAGCAATGGTTTCATTCTGGAAGTGCTTGCTTCTAGAAGACAATGTGAAGATTCTTTTTGAATCTATGGAGGATGGTGTTATGCCTTGTGTAACAAAGAAGGAAGTGATTGAGAGACTGCATGATGTGATCCATGAAAGTAGGGACAATACCCGTTTTAGGGTTATGTTGCTTGCTAGTGGTGGCCATTTTGCTGGTTGTGTCTTTGATGGAAACTCTGTTGTTGTCCACAAAACATTTCACAGGTTAGTAGTTAGTACTTATCTTATCTTTCTAACTCAATCGTGTTTTAAAGTGGCATTATGATTATCCAAAAATTATATCTACAAATACATTATACACCATTCATCCTTGTTTGTGACATCCAGAAGTTATATTTGACCTTCTTTGATGTCATGATTATAAACATAGTGGATTCTTTTTGCAAATTAATTTATATGCTACATTATTTTTGTTATATTCACTTGTAATTGAAGGTCTCTATTAGATGTTATCAATGTCCTGTTGTTATTCAGAATGCATGATCAGGTGTCATGAGTGAAATGCTAAAAAACACACCTATTTGATATGTAGATATGTGATAAGGGCAAAGTCTGGTAAAAAGCAGTCATCAAAAGATGCTAGTGGCAAAATTGCACATTCTGCAGGAGCTTCAATACGTCGCCACAATGAACTTGCCTTAAAGAAGGTATTTTACATAATTGATTTAATTTTGTATAATTGTATATACTAAATTACTAATCTTTTTCACTTTTAGAAAAGAGAGTCACACCAATGTTTTACTTCACTTCAAGTGAAAATTAAGCACTCAGTCATATAGCATACCAGATTAAGTATTTTTCATCCTTATAATCACTCAACTAACTATAATTTTCAATCAGGAAATTCGAGAGCTACTCGCATCCTGGAAGCCATATTTTGAAGCTTCCTCTTGTATATTCATTCACGCCCCTTCAGACAACCGCCAGCTGTTATTTGAAGGTGAAACTCCGTATTTTAGTGGTCACAAAAGTGTCATCAGACGAATCCCATTGACTGTTAGAAGACCAACATTCAAAGAGGCTCGCCGACTATACAGCATTTTAACTCAAATTTCCATTGAAGCTGAAGAACAAGCAGCAGCTCCTATTATTATTAATAAAGATAAAGAAGTTTCTAGAAGTGATAAGTTGGAAAATCCACACAAGGGTGTGGCTGATTCTAATAATGTGGAAGATCTGTGTGTGTCAAGTTCAAGTGATAAGGAGAGTGTTGTTTTGATTGAGACTCCTTTACATGAAGCAGCAAAAGCTGGGGATGCTGAGAAGGTTGTGGAGTTATTAGAACAAGGTTGTGATCCTTGTGTTGTGGATGAAAGAGGGAGGACTGCATATATGGTTGCAACTGAAAAGGAAGTTAGGAATATGTTTAGAAGGTTTATGGCTTTGAATCTTGATAAGTGGGATTGGCAAGCTGCTAAAGTTCCTAGTCCTTTGACCAAAGAAATGGAGGAATCTCAGAATGCCAAGCAGGTAACTTTTTTTTACCCCTTTTGTTTTGGCTGGATAAATGATGTTCAAAAAATAGGGCTAAATACAAGAAACAGCAATGTACTTTCATTTCTTTTTATTACAATTTTGTAACTTTGGTTTTTTATTTATATTAAGGCATTGTATTCTAATAAGTTTTAGGTAATTCTAGCATTGTGCTGTGTGTTGTGATTTCACTTTTGCACCTAGTAGTGATTTCTTTGATATCCAGATGTATTAGTTAAAAATAAAAAGACATAACAATAGCAATTGAATTTGTTATGTTTCAATGAAAGTTGAAAAATGATGATGAATGAATTGTATTTGATTGGTTGTTTGAGTTTTGACACTCAGGCAGAGAAAGATGCAAAGAGGAAAGCAAGAGCAAAAGAGCTGAAGAAGCTACGCAAAGCTAAAGAAAAGAAGGCTCAGGTCAGCTGTTTGTTCTTTTATCTTATTACTTATAAAATGCGACAAAATAGATAGACTTATTCAAAATTCTTGATTATACTTTAAAACTTTATATATATATATATATATATATATATATATATATA